AGTCCTAGGGAATTTTCAAGTATTATTTCATTTAAGCAGGTTAAAAACATCATTTTACTTCTCTTCTCCTTCAGGAATGCCTATACTCTGTTATTTGGTCATTTAATGAATCAGCTGGGACTAGAACCGGCACCCGTATGTGATGCCGGCATTTCAGGCCAGGGCTTTAACCTGTTGCACCAAAGTGTGGCCCATATTAGTCTATTTAGATTTTTCTGTGTTCATGAATCAGATTTGCTGGACTGTATGTGTCCAAGAATCTATCCACCTCCTCTAGGTTTTCCAATCTAATGTCATACAGCTCTTTGTAGAAATTCAAGGGTCCTTTTAGTGCTGTGGTATCCATTGTTGCATTTCTTTTTTCATCTCTGAATCTATTGATTTTTGGTCTTCTCCCTCTTCTTTTGGTTAGCTGAGCTGAAGGAGTATCAATTTTGTTTATTTTTGGAAAAAAAATCAGCTCTTCCTTTGGTCCAGACCAAACCATTGTGGCCATTTTTCTGTAGCTCTGTCTTTCAAATAAAATAGATCCATTTTTAAAAAAGAGAAATTCATTGTAGTGCATTTTTTAAATCATGTGTAGGTTTTTTGTAACATGCATTTACCAATAACTTTTTGAATACTCCTTATATATGTGATTCCATAGCCTTTCCATGAAGATTTGAAAATTAATTAATTTCTTTCCATGTTATAGGTCAATTAATATGTTTCTTTATGAATTAATTCTGATAACTTTATATATTTTCTTATAATTTCTAATGTTTGCTCTTCTAAATTTTCTTGCAGGTTGATACAATAAACATACAGTAAAAGAAGGAAGAATTATGTCTTCTATGAATAACTTGTTTCTTTCTATCCTGCCATAGGATGGAGAACATAATTATAACTACTCCATGTGCTTCTGAAACTTCCTGGATGAGACTAACAAATTATTGTTATAATGTAAACTGATAAATTGTGCCTTTTGACTTTGTACCTTTTCAAGAAGGCAGATTGATGTAACATCCTCTTTGTGTCAAAAGTTAGATAATGAAACAAACAAGAAAAAATGTAAAAAAAATTGTAAATGAAGAACAGTTTGAAGATGTGACAAGTTAACAAATCATAGTGAATAGTACTAATTTGTCTCATAGGACATATCCTTTACACACAGATTCACATAGATATATAGACATAGAGCTAGATTGTTATATACTACTGTTTTATATTTAACAAGAAGCACTACAGCAAATTATGCTGCAGTAGGGATACATGCACCCCATATTGGAATGCCTCATATCAGGTTTAGCCTCTGTTTCTGATCCAGATTCCTGCTAACACCCAACCTATTAAGCAGCAGAGGTGCACACAGGTGTGACTTTTTGTAACAATTGTATGGGCAGTGCAATAGCACTAAAATATCTGATTAAAAGTTCTATAACTGAATATGTATTAGGAGACTTATCGTTGTTTGTGCTAGGGTATATAAGACAAAGCTCTGCTTAGTTCTGGGACCAGAATTTGGAGACCAAACTCTCCTCTAAGCCAACTGGCAGAAGAATAAAGCTGTTTTTCCTTAACAGCTTTAGTGTGTCCTGCCTCTCTGTATGAGTTCCTGCTACAAACCGATAGTGAATGTTACTTCCACAAACTAGGAATACATTCCTAAAATTTCAAGGCTTAGGAGGCAATAATGTCATATACAATAAATATACAAATCCTATTTTCTATTAACTATGAAATAACAGAACTGCAAACCAAAGAGACACTGACAAGTCTTTTGGACAAAAACAGATTTTATTTAAGATTATCATATTTAACAGTTGTGTCAAATGAAATATCCAAACAAATTATTTTTAAGGAATAAGAAAAAATGCTATGTGGGAATTAGGATTATTGGACTCTACACCTCAATTCATTAACAAATTCTGGTCAGTAACTTTATAAAATAAGGAAATGCTTGTAAGTATTAAATATGACTGTTATAGTGATCACTAATATAGAGAATTAGAAATCTATAATTAGTGCAAATTCAATTCACAAAACATTTAAAATACACTTCAATCTACAAATAATTCATGTATGTATTGTAGTCATGAAATATTCCTTAACAAGTAAGCTGATATTTCCTTTTTAAAATATTTATATATTTGAAAGAGGTATAGAAAGAGAAAGAGATTGTGGGAGAGAGTGAGATTTTCCATCTACTGGTTCACTTTATTTTTTAAGATTTATTTATTTATTTGAGAGCCAGAGTTACAGGAAAAGCTATGGAGAAGAAGTGAAAGAGGTCTTCTATCCACTGGTTTATTCTCCCACATGTCTGCAATGGCTGGAGCTGAGCCAATATAAAACCAGGAGCCAGTAGCTGCTTCTAGGTCTGCCATGTGGGTGCAGGGCTCAAGCACTTGGACCATCCTCCACTGCTTTCCTAGTCCATAAGCAGAGAGCTGGTTCAGAAGTGGAGCAGCTGTGACACAAACCAGCAGTAATATGGGATGCCAGCTCTGCAGGCAGAGGTTTAACTAACTATCCCACAGCATTTGCCCCTACTGGATTAGTTTCAAATGGCTGCAGCAGCCAGGGATGGGCCAGGCTGAAGCTGGGACCCAGGAGCATCACACAAGTCTCTCACATGAGTTACAGGGTCCCAAGTACCTTGGCCTTCTACTGCTTTCCCAGGAGCATTAGCAGGTAGCTGGATGAAAAGTGCAGAAGCCGGGGGTGGGGGGCAGTGCTGTGATGTAGTGGGTTAAGCCATTGTCTACAGTGTTGGCATCGAGTATGGGATCCAGTTCCAGTCCTGCCTTGTTCCTCCACTTTGAAGCCAGCTCCCTGCTAGCATGACTGGGAAAGCAACGTAGGATAGCCCAAGCCCTTGTGCTGAGGAGACCTCCAAGAGAACCCTGGCTGCTGGATTCGGCCTGGCCCAGCCCCAGCCATTGTGGCCATTTAGGTAGTGAATAAGTGGATGGGAAATCTCTCTTCTCGCTTTCTAACTCTGACTTTCAAATGAATCCTAAAAAAAAAAAGTGGAGTAGCCCATTTGTGACACTGCTGTCACAGGTAGCAGCTTTACCTGCTGTGCCACAGCATCAGCCCAAAACCTGTTGTTTCTTACAGGATCCTATTGTCTGCCACAAGCAATCTATTTAAAATATTATACTCACATGTGTGTGCATTTGGTGTGCAAGTGCATATGCTAAAACATCTACCTCATTGTTTCCAAAACTCTTCCAATACAACTAAATGCTCTTAGGAAGTTACAAAAATCTTTAAAATGTTCAAGAGAACCAAAAGAAAAAATACAACATTCCCTAGAATCAAACAAAAATCAACAGCAGAACTGAGAAAAATCAAACTTTGAGGCAAGTGCTGCCCTCTGGATACTGGCTGCTCATTTGATACTAAAACCTGCGTGTGTCATGTAAACTGCCCTCTCATCAACAGGAATAAACAAGGACTTATGATATCAAAGAAGAGAATCAAATTGGAAAAAATGAAGGCCAGTGCCACAGCTCACTTGGCTAATCCTCCGCCTGTGGCACTGGCACCCAAGGTTCTAGTCCTGGTTGGGGTGCCGGATTCTGTCCCGGTTGCCCCTCTTCCAGGCCAGCTCTCTGCTGTAGCCCGGGAGTGCGGTGGAGGATGGCCCAAGTGCTTGGGCCCTGTACCCACATGGGAGACCAGGAGGAAGCACCTGGCTCCTGGCTTTGGATCGGCACAGCGCCAGCCATAGCGGCCATTTTGGGGGTGAACCAATGGGAGGAATATCTTTCTCTCTGTCTGTCTCTCTCACTAACTCTGCCTGTCAAAAAAAAAAGTGAAGCACTCAAATAAATAAGCATTGGATGAATGATCAAAGAGATTGGTTATTGAAATGTCTTTTCAAATATCTGAATAAATATCAACTGCAAAATGAAAGAATTGAAATAATAAAATAATGTAAAATAATAGCTAGGAAAGATAAATTTGATCAGCTGTATTTGGAAAAGACAAAATGTAACAAAGTAAGCAATACACAATGCACACTTAAAACAGTGAATGAAACTCAGTTACCTAGAGGATTACTGAACTGAAAGAGTGAGCTGCCAAATTACAGTACTGAACAACAATATTTTACTATGCTCCTAATGTGTATTTATGAAATGCATGCAAACAAAAATAAATAAAAAAGAAAAGAAAATACAACTATATGACAGCTAGAATGATAATTAATAAAATCTCTGCATCACTAGATTTTGACTATTTATAAAACTATGAAACGCAGCAATCTGATAAAATAATGTGTAAGTATATGTCATGATACACAGGTATAAGATATTGAAATCGGCACTGCATTGTATTATTGAAAGATAAATATAGGGAAATATTCAAAAAGAAGTGAGTCAAACTGAATAGGACCAAGCAGAAGAATATTTGATATGACAGAGAGGAGCATATACAACTTAAGCCACTGAGGGCAGTTTCCATAGCTTTACTATAAACTATGTGAGAAAAACTAAAGATTAACATTTCTGACAAATTGATAGCCAAGCAAGACTTGAATATTTGCCCATTTTAACTAATGACTAAAATAAGAAAAGTTCAAATGTAAAAAAACATGAGCCATTTGAATATACATGGTTATTTCTAAAATGTTCACTTTAGGAAGAATGAAGACATTTCTTGCGTGAAAGTCTGAACTCCAAAAGTAAGAGTAAGGAAATTGTCAATATATGGAAATATTAAATCATGGTGGATCTTGAATTGAAGAAAATGTAAATTCTGGACAATATAGGTTTCAAAGTATTTAGATATAAGAAAAGGAAAATCACACACAATTGAATTAATTATACAGCAACCCAGTCTTTTAAAATAATTTATATCCTATGAAACAAATCTATTTCAAGAAGGCCATTTAAAAAGTTATATTTTTTATTTGAAAAGAAGACAGAGGGACAGGGAGAGGGGAGGGAGAGGGAGAGGGAGAAGAAGAGAGAGAGAGAGAGAGAGAGAGAGAGAGAGAGAGAGAGAATCATGCACATGCTGGCTCAATACTCAAATGTCCTTGCCCAGGAGTAGCCCAGGTCAATTCCAGAAGCCTAGAACTCTGCTAGCCCAATCACATAGGTGATAGGAGCACAAGTACTTGATCCAGCACTTGCCATCCTCCAGAGTGTGCACTGGCTGAAAGCTGGATCAGAAACACAGGAAGGAATCAAACTCAGACATAGAAAATGGCAGGTGGGCACCCCAGGAGGGCTCTAAATGCTGCACCACACACATTCTGCAAGGCCATTTTTTTCATTTATTAATTAAAATTCTAAGATTTTCCATGGAATATTTTGCAAAATATTTATGATCCTTTTTTCAGAACTAATAAGCACCAGTGGACTGACAGTGGCATATACGTTGACCACAAAACCCTGCACAAACAGGATGACTGAGTCATATGCCCACATTATCACTGAGGAGGATGAGATGATGAAGTCCACCCAGTACATGACCACAAAGAAACTCACCAGCAGCAGGATGGTCTGGGTGGCCCTCTTCTCTGGGGAGGATCTTGGAGAGAGGCTGGTGCTGTGAAGGTGCTGGGACCTCCTCTGATGCTTGGTCAAGATTTTCACCATGTACACACTTGAGAGCAGCATGACTCCCACAAGGAAGACGTCCCTGCATGTTGTCAGTGTGATTATCAAGGCCATGATGTCATGGCTGATGGGGAAAAATGAACAGTATTTAGTGATAGCCATCAGGTTGGTCTGGGTCACATTGGAAGATGCCACAGTGTGGACGAGTGTGCTAGTACTGAAAGACAAACACATTAACCATATGAAGGGGAAGCAATAGGAAATAAAATATTTTGATTTGTATTTAAACTGTGCCAACCAGGAAGTGAAGGGACTGATGGTGATGGCCTGGATGACACTCAGGAGGCAGGTGTTGCAGATGGAGAGGTGTCGCTCCCCCTCTTCGTGGAGGAACGACACAGGACCCTGCGCTGTTCTTTCGTCTGCTCGGCCCTCCCCGGGTTTGCTGCTGGTTCTTCCCGGGTTGGCTACTATCCCTTCCACCTCCGTGGAAGGGCAGTTCCCCCTGGCCGCATTCCCCACTTCCGCAGGGGAGCGGCACACCGCCGGCCGGCTCTCTGGGGGCTGCACGGGTTCCCTTAGATGTTCCCCATAGATCTTCCTGGTGCATGCCGTTTCTCTCCTCCTTTATAGTCCTTCTCTGCCAATCCCAACTCGGCTGCCCACACGCCGAGTACGCTGCTCTCCAATCAGGAGCAAGTCCTACAGTTAATTGGTTGAACTGGAGGCAGCTGTGCGGAAGCTGTTTACTTCTCTCCCAGCGCCATATTGTGGGAGAGCAGATGCATAGAATAAGTCTTAATTCGAGTAACTTAGTCTAGTCCGGATTGCTCCCCACAGAGAGGCCCCTCATTACTCTGTTTGTGTAGAGCAAAACTTTACACTTGAAGTCATTACAAACATTCACTGACTCAAACAGGTCCGCTGAGAACAAAAACAGCACAGTAAGGAGCAACATTATGTGGGTGAAGGCCAGGTGACAAATGGTCAGGTCAGTGGGCTTATGCCTGTGATCCAACAGGAGTGTGAAGATGTGAGAGAGGAGGAGGAAGGTGTTGGCTGAGATTCCAATGCCAGCTTGAAAAAGAAGATATTTATCAACAGCAACAGGAACATCAAGAATGCTCATCTTAATATCATGCATATCTGAAAAGTAAACAAACAAAATGATAGGTCTCATGTCATCAGAAAGAATTATTCTGCCTACCAGAAGTTTGCTTTCTATCTTCCTATCTTCACAATGGTCCTGGAGCTCTCTTGGATTCGGTTTCCATCCCAGAAATCCTTCTTTGAATTTTCTTCGAATCCAGAAGGTATTGTCAAAGTCTAGCTTTCAATCATCAAGAGGAAAACATCATAAATTATGCACTGTGAATTATACATGAAATTGCATTAAAACTATCACACGGTGACATTATTATTGCTAATCTAACTAATACAGGGAATTTAATTAATATACAGATACTCTATCTTACTTCTAAAATTTCTTGGATCCACAATACTTAAATTAATTCCTTTCTGGTTTAATTTAAGCAGCTGCAATGTTACAATTTCACAGTTACTTTAGCATGTGATTGCATTGGTTATGGGTATAATTATGTTAACTAAATAATTTATTCTAGGAGATGTGATTTGATTTTATGGTGCTACAAGATAATAATTTACAAACAGCAGAAAAGTGTTCCCTCAGCATTCCATAGGTTGAAAAACCTAAGGTGGAGGGACTACCAAATGGTGATGGCCTTGTTGTTTGTTCCATGGAAAAAAATGTAGGTACAGAGTGAGGGGCAACACATTTAAACTTAACTCAGGTTAAATTTCAACATGAGTGTCAGATGGGGCATTTAAATCATACTGAGGATTTAGAAAAAAATTAGCATATGATAAGTAGGAAAACAGCAATTTAGCACAGTCCCTTTCATTTTTGAAGATGATGAATGTGCAATTATGTTTTAGAGCCACTTTAAGCACTGTAGACCCATCAGTATAAATATGTAAATTAAAATAGAAATGGCTCATATTTAGACATTTGTAGCTGTGTTCAAACAGATCTATAATGAAAAGTCCATGGATTTGGTTATCTGTTACTCTACATCACAAAGCTTTTTCTCCTAAATAGACATATGCAACTTCTAAATTTATTTATTTATTTATTTGGAAGGGAGAGGGAAAGAATCTTCTCTTTACTGGTTCACTCTACAAATGGCCCCAACAGACAGTAGTTGGTTGAACTGAATACAGAAGCCAGGAGCTCCTTCCAGTCTTCCACAGGGATATGGGGTGGGAGGTCATGAATTTTTGTCATCATATGCTGCCTTCCCAGATAAAATAGCAGAGAGCTGGATTAGAAGCGAAGCATCCAGGAATAAAATTGTCATTCTGATCTGGGATGTCAGCATTGTAACTGGGCAGTTTATCTCCCTGAACCACAATGTTGGCCTCAGACATGCATATCTGAATTGTCAGTTAATCAAGATTTTGCTACCTCCAACAAATTACAATCAGCAAACATGGTTCTGCTCCCAGGTTGAATCCAGGAGAAGCGGCTCCAAACACAGGCAGTTTAATGAGTGTCCTAACCAGTGACTTAACTGCTGGGCCTGATGTCCACCACATGATTCTTGTTTTAAGATGGAGAAGAGGCCGGTGCTGCGGCTCAATAGGCTAATCCTCCGCCTTGAGGCGCCGGCACACCGGGTTCTAGTCCCGGTCAGGGCACCGGATTCTGTCCCAGTTGCCCCTCTTCCAGGTCAGCTCTCTGCTATGGCCCGGGAGTGCAGTGGAGGATGGCCCAAGTGCTTGGGCCCTGCACCCACATGGGAGACCAGGAGAAGCACCTGGCTCCTGGCTTTGGATCAGCGCGGTACACCGGCCACAGCGTGCCTGCCGCGGCAGCCATTGGAGCTTGAACCAACGGCAAAAGGAAGACCTTTCTCTCTGTCTCTCTCTCTCTATCCACTCTGCCTGTTAGAAAAAAAAATGGAGAAGATCCCCAAACCTGCATGAGACCAAGGTGCAGGAGCTAGAGAGCCCATGTATTATTGAAATGGCTAAAGAAATGTTTCTATTACTGTAGATGGAATCAGGGGTACATTATATAATTATTGCTCAAGGTTACCCATATGAAAGACTGGATCTTTAGCAAAACATTGAAATCAATACTGGCATATTAGCCATCCTTGTGTCTAATTGTTGACTATATCCAGCAAAAATAATTTTCATATCTTCATGGAATTTTGCTAAGAAGTATTAAAAACCTGTGAAGGATTTGTGTTAGAGGTAATATTCACTAATGTACTAATGTGAGAAAAAGTCACATCCAGCATAGACCATAACGATTGCAATATGCACATAAACTGTATTTTAACCTCCAATCTGCACCAGGCACTACATAATTTAAGTCAATGTGTGATTCATTTAAATTATCTCCATCAAAAGGACTGTGGCTCACTTCCTAGTGGCCATGCTGCAAAGGCTGAGCACATGGATCTACCCTTCACCATGACTGACATCAATGAGAAGACCCCAGCCTTACTCATGTGGATTTCTGCTGCAATCCACAGGAACAACTTTCATGAAATTGAAAGAAATGAGCCATAATGGAGTGAAAAGAAGAATTCATTTAAAATTATTTTGGTAAGGTACACATAACATAAAGTTATTATCTTATTTTTTTAAAGATTTATTTTATTTGAAAAGCAGAGTTACAGAGCGAGAGTGAGAGAGGTCTTCCATCCTCTGGTTCCCTCTCAAATGGCCGTAACAGCTGGAGCTGGGCTGACCCAAAGCCCAGCCTGTGAATGCTGCTTCTCGCCTTTTGCTCCTCAGTCTCTCCTCCTTCCTCTGCACAAATCACTCTCTCCATCAGTCTCTCTCCCTTTGTCTCTGGGATTTCTTTTCTGCACCCCACACATCTCTGTTCCCATGATTTTTCCCTCATTCTCCTTCCCCTCCCTCTCCCTCCACTTCTTCCCTCCCCACCCTCCCCCTCCCTCTCACTCAGATTCTTTCACACCCTCAGGCCTCCAGGCTCTCTACTCCACTTTAGTCTTGTCCGTGGTTCCCCTGAAAACTCACCTCTGCCCATTTCTCAATAAAGAAACTGCAAGACTTTGGGACTCACAGGGCTTGTCAATCAATGTTTCAAATTCAGATTCTCTTAGAGGCCTCCTGGACTTGGTGCCACTGGGGAGCAGCTGGCAAGATGAAATCAGGCTCCTGACAAGGCCTGGACCACTGGTTGCACCCTCATGGTCATTACCACCAGGAATGGCTGCCCTGCTCCAGCCTGCAGCACCACAGTTTCTGCCCAGGTTTGGGCAGAATCACATGGTGTCCACCCCAGGGGGATCAAGTGGTCTTCCCAGAAGCAGACACTTAGGCAAAGTCAGCACCACACAAGGTTTATTAGGGGAATCACTCAGACAGATAAGAGAGGAAGAGTCTTCGTGGGACAGGGAAAACATTCGGAAAATGGGCATCAGGTGGCTTTTTGACTCACAGGCACAGCCTGTTCCGGATAGCTGAGCTTCCTATTCCAATTCCACAATGGCTCTCCTGGAAGACAAAAGAAATTGGGATTGTTTCCCCCATCTACTGACTTCTCCCTTTCTACATTTGTCCTCCGTGTTGTGTCTGCTCCTGATGTGTTCCATGTGCGGCTGTACCTGAGAGTCCTTACACCACGCAAACCAACAGTCCTCACATCTCAGCCACAGACCTCGGCCTCCACCTGTGCACATTCACACACTTCTCTTTCACCTTGTAGGTAGGATTTGCATTTTATTACTAGAGAGGGGAACTTTGCCTTTTCTTAGGAAACAGATTTTGCAAGTCTCTGGGTGTGAGCTATTGCACCCCCAGCTTTACCTAATGCACTTAATGAGCATCTCTTGGTGATCTTGATAGAAGACGGCTGCATATATGTACCAGATATTTGTAGAATACTTTTCCCATGGATTTAATGTCTTCCTGCTAACAACATCCTCAGAAACCAATAGGATCTCCATGTCACAGCTCCACACAGCACTGTCCTCAGGGGCTAGGACAGCATGGACACAGGGAGAGAGACCCATATTGCCTGGTGTGACACTGAGAGGCAGGGGTGTCTGGAGGAGCTGAGACTCCTGAGGCTTCTTGTTGTGAGGCAGAGACAGCTGCCTGCTAATCGAGAGCCGACTTCATTGTCAGTATCCTTGGGGCATCATAAACTCAGGCAGAACCTGGACACACCCATGAGACTCCTTCCCTTTTCCTTCAGATTGTGGACAGAGGGCTGTAGGGCAACAAGAGCACTCTGAGCAGGATGGTGCCCTGGCCCACACTGGGTCATGAGGACTCTCCTCCAGCAGCTCCGTGTGACCCCAGGCAGCCTCTACGTGCTCTGCTCACACCACCTGTCCTGCTAGGTCAGCTTTCCAGCCCCCATCTTAGGGAGCTCAATGTGACCCTATACGGCCCCTCCTCATCTCCTCCTCTTTGCCACCCCCTCATTTACACCCAGGAAATTCACTCCCTCTTACACCCTGGGGTCCTTCAATGGCACTTCCATTACGGCGATGACCAGTCCAGCGCTGAGCGTTGTGAGACCCTACAGGACCCTGCACTTCTCAAAGCCAAGGCCAAGTCTCATCCCTCACAGAGCTGAGCATAACCCCCCTCCCCAACACTGGGTTCCATGCTCTGCCAAACTGCTATTTCTGGCTTCTATAGATGACTTCTTTCCTCATCTGAACAGACACCTGCACAAGTTAGGGCTGTGATGCAGCCCACTGTGTGCCCTCAGAATCAATCATGAGCAATGTTACAGAGCCCTTAGGTAGCCTCATCCTTGAAATGCAAAGCCCGGCAGAATCACTGGGACATTTTGTGTAGGAATAAAAGTGACAGAAAAGATAGAGGTACACTTTGCAAGTCAGTTCATTCAGGGTAGATCATCATACCAAATTCTGGAGACAGAGGTACTGGCCGAGGTCTTGGAAACCACCAGGGTGGAGGAGGTGGCGGATAGCCCATGAAGGATTCTCTGTAGCCCCCCATGGGGTAGGGCATGTAGGGTGGTCTTGGGAAAGGAGGAGGTCCTCCTGCAGCCACGCTGACCTGCAGAGCAGAAGTTAACATTTTGAAGTAGATTAATATCATGGGCAACACCAATACCAACACAACTGAATCACAGTACAGCAGGTGATAATGGCGGGCGCCTTCCTCTCCACCAGGTATTAAATAAGCAGCCTCAGCACCACAAAACTCTCCTCTTCCACTGGATCCCAACAGCTTGAGGAGTGAAGGGAAGTCACAGGATGAACTGCTGTCACCACACATCACTGTCCATGTCTGCAGAGGTATGTCCCAGAGAAACAGTGCCATGGTAAACTGATAAAGACACACACTCCATACAGATGATCTCCATGTCAAGGACTACCCAACATATCCACAGACATTTCCTGCACATTGGAGGAGGGGAAAGTCCACTGTGCACACATGAGAGGGCCTCTCCAATCTTCTCTGCTTCCCTCCCTAGCTGAGGGTCTCCTCACTGGGGGTGCTGCCCCTGGACACAGGATCTCCTGCAGAATGCAGATTCCTGGTGTCTTGCAGGGAAACTGGGAATGTGATTTTCCAGAAACCATGTTACCCACTGGAGTTAGGTAGGCACATGTTTCGATCTTAATTCATAGGCAAGACTGAATTGGAAGTACTCTGGGAGCTGCACACTACTTTTATCTCCTACACAAACAAGGTGGGAAATAAGAAATTTAAAACAAGGTACATTTTCATTTCAAACTACAGATGTCCAGTGGCATCTGAATGGAGAATCACCAACATCAGCATCTACACAGGTCACACAAAAACCTGCATATGGGAACCTCAATTAGGCTCTCCTGGGAATTGGCCTTGCAGGTAAATGCTGATGAACACTCTTCACTATCTCACAGCAGGTGAGCATTTGCCATTCTGCAAACATGATCCCTGAAGCTTCAGAATATTCCACAGAGGGCCCCACTGGAGGGTTTTCTGCACAGCCCATTTACCAAGAGAAATGAGACAGTGATTTGCTTTGTCCAAAAGCATTCAATATTGAACAAAACACAAAAAATCATGGATTCTGTCGGTGAAGATGTTCTGAATGGTTAAACAACCTAAATCAAAACAGGAAAGGAGGTATTTTATTCTGACAATGAAATGTGGCCTGGCCACCTCCCAGGTTGTAGAAGCTTGGGGGGAGTCACTGTGCCATGAGGCTGAAGGTCTCAGCCATCTTCTCTGCCAGTGATTTCCAGAAACTGACAAGCAAACCTTCAGGCTTCAGCCTGTAAAGCACCAGCACAGATGCTGAGCTGGAAAAGGAGAGGCCCACAGGCTTGTGGGGGAAGGCTTGGCTGCTTTGAAAAGTTACAGACACAGAAAAGGTATCACAGCACACACAAGTCAGAAAATAATGGAAGAGAGAGTGTTGTATATGCAATGATCAGGTTTCAGGAAATCATTACAAGGAAAACGACCACAGCAATTACCTGTTCCTTCCTGGTGTCCTCAGCAGGGGATGAACCTTGGTTCTTCATGTGACCTGCACAACTTCTGGAATCTGCCCAACAAGAGACAGCACTGTATTCTTTCTTAACAAAATGTTTACATATTTATTTATCCAAAAGGCAGAGACAGACAAATCCCATCTGCAGGTTCACTCCCCAAATGCTAGCAATAGCCAGGCTGAGGCAAGCAGCAAAGACCTCCATCCAGATCTCCTACATGTTTGTCAGGGACTCAAGTGCTTGAGCCACCATCTGCCACCTCACAGGCACATTAGCAGGAAGGTAGATCAGAAGCAGAGGCAGGACTCAGTCTCACGCAGTCCTCTGATATAGGACACAAGCATCCCAAGAGGCAGCTTACCTGCTGTAGCAAAGTGCCAACCACCCGGGGAGGGGAGTTATTCTGCCTCAGTGTTGAGAAAACCCACACACCTTTTCACCCTCTAAACTCAATCCCATGTTATGTCTCTGGTCAGAGGCCCAGGGTTTACCAGGTGCCTCAGAAGAGCCCTGAGTACAAGGAGGAGGCCCATGTCCTCACTGAGGATGATACCACCTTAGCCTGTGCCAGGGGTTCTCACCACAAACCAACTCATTGTACCTAAGTCAGTGCTAAAATTAGCTGGAAATCAACATGATATGTTGATATACATACCTAATATGTATAGAGGAAATTATAGTTTAAGAATATCCTTGGACATATAGAATATCAATAAATCCTGACCATGAGCAGCCCCAGGCCCTGAAATCATGGGGAGATTCTGAAAATCTTAGTCCCTCTGTAACTGGCCATCTATGTGATCTGTTGTGATATAACTATTTATAAATGGAAAAGGACTTAACTATATTAATGATGAGAGTGATGACAAAAGGAAAATGTTTTCATTGGGTTTATTATAAAATTTGAGTGTTATAATATTATAGAAGTGAAATTACATAGAAAATTAATTTACTGATGGAGCTCTATAGTTGACAGTAAAGAAAAAAAAAGCCAAAAAAAGAACACAGGCTGACTGATGTCAAGCAGAGCTTGCAGAATATTACTAGAGGGATGATAGTCCAGGACATTTCCTCTCTTATCAGGATGTTTAACCTTTACTGTCAAGTACTGTTGGTGCTGCTAAGGCCTCTACCACTGACTCAAGGTGGAAAGGAGGATCTAGCCAGGTTCCCTTCTATGCCCTTATTGTCAGTTAAAAAGAACTGAGTTCAGGTGCAGTGGAGGAGAGTCCCCAGTCAGTACTGGGGCCTGAGTTCTACCCTGCCTGGGGTCTGGTTGAAGGGCCACTTGTCCAGGGCACATGAGGGAAACAGCACCCAGCCTCCCTGCAGGACAATCATTTCTCTTTGCTAAGTGCATGGAACTCTTCAGGAAATGGAACAATCACTGCCCAGAGTGAGAAGCTGAGGGTGTGGAATCTGCAGGGGACATGAAGCTATCACCGTCCTTCCACACTGCTCCTACCTCTCTGTGGAGGGTTCTCCCAGCCAGGTCCCCCTGACACCGGCTTCTGCCTCCTGGATTCCTCTGCCTGCATGATTTCCAATCTTGAAGATAAAGAAAGAAAAAACATATTTAAGTAACAGAACACACACATACACACCCCAGAACAAGTCCTTTACTAGACACTCAACAACTTAGTCTTAAATCAGAGACATGCTTAAAATGCCTGCTCTTTCATGCACCTGTGTTTCAAGTGGGCAGTCTCCCTCTTCTGCGCCATCAACTCCCGTTCCAGAGCTTGAGCCCTGACCTGTGGGGAGGGAAATACATGCACATTCAGTTGTGGAAAAGAGGGCAGAATGGAAAGAACACATGAAAAATTTTTACCTCAATGTCACGAGCCTTTTGTTTATGAACAGCAATCTGAAAAGGCCAACACAGAAAGTGAGGGCTTAGGGACTCTCAGGGGCCCTTTAACCATCTGCATTAAGACGTGAAGGACGGTGCAGCTATTGGGCAGCATGCAGTTACCTCCTGTCTGAAGGTCTCCTTTTCTCGCTGCTGCTGAGCCTGCATTTCTTGCAGTCTTCTCCTGTGATTCAGAATCACTTTCATCAGATGAAGCACAATGTTGACTATGAATTTAAACAGCTTCCCTATGTTACCCTATCCTCAGATGTCAAAAATACTCACGATAATTGTAAAAGTACAGAAAGAGTAAGCCCTACTGCTGCATCATTTCCTTATCCTTTATGTTATACCTGCAGGATTCCCAGCTGATGTCATCTCCTTATTTCCCTAGTTTTTCCTCCCTTGTGTGTCTTTTATCATAAAAGTCCATTCTATTTCTTATATCCTTGCCGTGTTTCTGAGGGCAGCAAGAACCGGGTCTATAAAATGGGGACAACCATTGTAATGGATTTGATCCATCCTACAATGAGCTGTCTTCCTAAGGATTAGGAAGGTGGATTCTCACCACCCCAAAAAACAATTGAGTTTCCATGCAGTCAGGCCAGCATTTGGAATCAGGAACTGTGTAGAAACAGTATCACTTGGTCATTTGTAAACTTAAAATAGTTGGTATAATCTTGTATGAATCATCTCTATGTCTCTTGAACATTGCTTACAGTTCTCTTTTAACTGGGCCTAAGCATTAAACAGTTAATCCAACCATTGTTTCTGGACTGGTTGTTTAGTCTCTAGACTCACACATAGTTCTCAATTTCTTCTTCAGCCCGTTTCAAATTCTCCTCCTTCTCTGACAGCTTCGTCTCCTTTTCCATCCACTCTTGTTGTTTCTCTGCCATCTTCCTAGGATGGGAAAGAAATGCATATTTCCCAGAAGCCCATGTGGGATTATGCCTCCCCACTTGCTAACAGTCTGAGTGCATGATGGGAAAGTCCCCTTGCAGGCATCCGTATAAACACACAGACCCACAAACAGTGCAGAATCAGAAGTGAAGCCTCCCACTGACAGAAGACGATCCATTGGCCAGCTGGCAAGTTCTCTCTAATTACTGTGTGCTCCTATGCATTAGTAATAAGTCAATGAGTATACATAGCACCTGACACTAAGCAGTTGTGATTTGAAATGGTGAACACTCCTTTGTGGAAAAGCAGGTCAAATCATTTCATCACTAGTAATCCCATTAGGATGAGACAGGGGGTTCTCACTCGTCTGCCTCCGCCCATGGAGGAACATGATTCACAGTCTGGCTGGGACCATGCTACAGACAACCTGATCTACAGAGATCCTTCCAGCTCATGGAGTCCTTAACACTGCAGTCACTGTGAACACTGCTATGATGCAGGGGTAGAGCTCCTGCCTCCTACAGCTGGGAGCCTGATGCAGGGAAGAAGAAAATCCAGTGCTGACAACATGAGTGAAGTACACTGTCCTGAACTGCCACCTTATTGGGGCTTTCCTCAGCTGCTGAGAACCTGCAGCTTTGTCTGCGAAGCCCTCGGCCCCAGTGCTATTTACTTCTACATAGTGGCAATCACTGAGAATGCAGGCAGCAAAAGCCCATGGTCTAGAAAGAGTGTCCCTTTGATATCTGCTTTAATCCACATTACCCATAAAACCCCAACAGCTGTAGGACACAGGCACAAAACAATGGAGAGGGTTAATGCCTTGGAAGTCCTTGGTAAATTCTTTCTGTGTTTTTAGGTGCCAAGGATACAAAGTAGAGTAGGCACTGTTCCTACCTTAAAAACCCGCAACATACTAGTAAGGACAACAGCAACACTTGTCTCAGACTTGGGAAATATTATTCCAAGTCTGAGCCATGGGGGACCATAAGGAAGAGTTCTGGTTTTGAACATGGGTGAGTGTGGATGAAGTCCTGGATCTCCCCCGAGAACAGTAGGAAACACTGGACAAACATGAGGTATACAATGGAATAGACTGAATCACTAACACATCAGCAACAACATGTGGGAGCAACATGGAGAAGAAGGAATCTTGGAAACAAGATCGACCTGGCATCTCAGCTGGCATTTGAGGCCCATTTCCCTGTAGATCATGAAAGAATTCTCTAGGAGACTAGAGAGAGGTAAATATGGGCAGCCTTTGCTCACATAGATGGGTTCAAAGGAATACAGTGGAGTTCAGGGTCTGACTGGAAAATCTCACAGCTTTGCTTGGAACACTATGAATGGAGGAGAGGACATACACTGGCCTTTGCAATGAATGCCCTCAGCTGCTGAATGAATTAACAGCTCCCATACTGCCAGCATCCTTGCCTGAGGCCATCTCCTTATTTTCCAAAGCTAGATCACATCACACCACATTTTAATTTTTTCCCAATATTTTTACTCAATGACAGGCATTCAATTAGAAATGACTAGACACAAGAAGGAAAACAAAATACGATATGACCAAAAATCCCAACAATATAAAGGTATACAAGAGAGGTTGAACAGCTGCTCCCTGCTGATGGCCCGAAAATGCAGTGGAGGATTTGTCCAAATCTTTGGGCCCCTGCATCTGCACCCAGAAGAAGCTCCTGTCTCCTGGCTTTGTATCGGCTCAGCTCCCTCCATTGTGGCCCTTTAGAGAGTTAACCAGCAGACTGAAGACCTTTACCTCTGTCTCTCCTTCTCGCTGTAACCCTTCCTCTCAAGTAAATGAATAATTAAAAAAAAGAGAGAGAGATAGAATGCAGACATGGACATTAATGATGCTGGTATCAGTTCTTCCAGTACCCACAAATAAATTACGAGGGAATGTATAACAAACAGTTGAAAGAAACAGAAAAATGCATATTATGGGAATCAAGGCAAAAAGGATGAGAATTCTTTACTGACTGAAATTAGCACTGACATTACTGCGTCGGTTCAGGACATCTTACTTTGCGGCAGCTGCCACCTTCAGTAGGACCCAGGAGGCAGGAACCACTCTTCACCTTCCCAATGCAGATGTATTTACACTAGACAGGACCTCCCTCTAATGAAGGAACGTACCTTCCAGCATCCATATTTTGGCCCTCAAGGCTCTCAGCTGTAAATCCTTGACTCCATCATTTTCATCTTCCGACTTTAAGAGATTTTTAAGAAAAGACATTCAAGAAATGGTTGCAGAACAATGCAAATGTCATTACTACTACAGAAATGCACACCTATATTGTTCAATAGATAATTTTGCATCACCACAGACTTTATAGTTAATTTTAGTTTAGAACAACTAATTTAAAACAGGTAAAAAGGAAATGAGAAAGTTCAGTTTTCTGGATCACAGTCTCTTCAAGAATGTGATTAATTTTGTTACCTGCTCCTACTAGATTGTCAACTAAGTATTTTACTTTTATAACTTCAATTTCCCTTCACTGAAGCCAGTTTCATTAAAGGTGATTGGATCTTAACTGAAAACACTGTAATTAGTTACTTCACAAGAACAAAATTCCACATAGTTATCATATAAATTTAATCTTCAAAAATGAAATATTTCTCATTAGAGCTAAAATGTACAATTGAAATATTGAAACAATTATAGAAAGTTTACCTCTGAAATTCCCGAGTTGTTCATTGAAATAACTTCTTTCAAGTTTTCAGTAGATTTCCCTTTTTCAAATGCCTGCACATAAGATAGAAACAAAACAAGTGCTAAGGTTTACAAAAAGAGGCAGGAGTTTCACATGGTGATTAAGACTCTGCTTGGGAAACATGTATTCCATATTGGACTGCTTGACTTAATGCCCTGGCTCTGCTCCCAAATTTATCTTCCTGCTAATGCACACCCTGCACAGCAGCCATTGATGGATCAAGTACCTGGGTCCCTACCAACCACATGAGAACACAAACTGAGTTCTAGTTTCCTACCACTGACCTGGCTGACCCATGGCTATCATAGGCATTTGAGGGGTGAATCCACAAACGAGAGCACTGTGCTAGTCTGCATCACTATTTGTAAAGTCAACTGGAGAAAGAATTAATTGAAGTGATTTTTAATTCCATGACAACACCAGCTGAAACAGCTAAAAAGCTGAAATAGCAACCAAGCACATCCCACGGCTAACTCTATATTTTATGGGCATGTCATGGATCCAGATTGGGTCTAGAAGAAATGTCAAAAATATAATGAAATGAGGGGGAAAACACACTGAAGTAAGAATACTTTGTGGCATAAACAATCTTTCTGCTTAGGAGATAATGAGAGAAATGACTGAGAAGTCAAAAGCAAATAATGTAAAAATGTGTGCAAGTCAACCTGCTTGAATGAACTTTTCTTAATGGAACAGCTTTTCTTATTAGAATATTAATAAGGGAATAAAAATAACTCTCAGATTTCACTGATAATTTTTTTTACTGAGCATTAAGAGGGGTAGGGGCTGTTTAAGTTCATCTAAACAGCCCCTACCCCCTTAATATTCCTTAACTATTCACACATTTCCTAAATATCTTGCAGGACAGCAATGAATATTGTGATAATTGCCCAGACAGGAAATCAAACACACTTCTTGGATCCTTCATTTAAGATGTTACTTCAGTATTTTTTACAATAACATTGAACATTTTTTCAGAAGAAAGTTCATCCCCCATACTCTTAGACTTTTACTCTGTGAAAAGCAATAGAAAATGTACCAGCTGGATCACTAAATGGACAAAAGGCTCAGAGGCCAAATTATGGTAAAATATAGGAGCCAAATTACTACCACATCATGATTCTTAGCATTCTGATCTCTTCCAGACTGCAGGTATTGTACCTTGTACGTGGTAGTTTTAGTGTTGTCACTGTTTTTTTTGCATTATCCTTCAATACAGCATATTGCATCAGGGAATATTTATTTCTTTTACTTGTTTTTATAATGGATTCCATAAAGGCAAAGGTTATTACCTTAAGTTTAACTGATTCATCAGAGAACACCTTTTTTTGTCTTTTAGTCTCCTGAAGACGTTTTCTCGACTCAGTGATCTATATGTATATGTAATAAAGAATCAGAATACAAAAATGTTAATTAGAGGGCCAAGTAACACCTACCCTCATGTATGATTCAGTACACAAGTGAACAGAGCAGCACTTTGCATGCAGGAGGCTGACTTCACATGTGAAGAGCTTACAGATCTTATGAAGCAGGGCAGTGGATGAAAGAGGGTACAGTGGAATACCTGAACTAGACGTGGAAGTGACTCAAACTGAAACCATGAAAAATATGAAAATTGAAAGGACATTGATACCTTCTGTTCCAAAACAGAAATTTGTTGTACAAGTTCTGCATTTTCTTTCGTGACATTATTGATCTTCTCAGAAATTTGCTGCAAATTAACTAAAGGGAGATAAAAACTAAGGTTATAAAGAATAAAACAATATAGTTGAATTACCTCAATGTATTAGCAGAAATTACTTGTTATCTGGCATTATGGCCAGAAAATACTTCCTAACTTCACTACTAAGCCTGAAGAAGCAAACTTTACTTACAGTAATTTTAAAAACCAATAGAACTAGTAGGAAATAAGAACCAATGTCAATTATAATCCTATTTGAAATTATTGGAAACATGGGAAATACATGTTTTCATTGAAGTACTCTCATCAATGGAAGATGGCACTTCATTCTTAGAAAATTCCATTACTTGGCAGGCGCCGTGGCTCACTAGGCTAATCCTCCAACTGCGTTCCCGGCACCCTGGGTTCTAGTCCCGGTTGGAGCACCAGGTACTGGTCCCAGTTGCTCCTCTTCCAGTGCAGCTTTCTGTTGTGGCCCGGAAGGCAGTGGAGGATGGCCAAAGTGCTTGGGCCCCTGCACCCACATGGGAGACTGGGAGGAAGCACCTGGCTCCTGGTTTCGGATCGGTGCAGTACGCAGGCCATAGTGGCCATTTAGGGGGTGAACCAACAGAAGGAAGACCTTTATCTCTGTATCTCTCTCTCACTGTCTAACTCTGCCTATCAATAAAAGAAGAAAAAAGAAAATTCCATTACTTCAAATAGTTTTGTCTTCACCAGAGAAGAAACAGAAATCAAACACCCTAGCTACTTACATTTCTATTCCCTAATTATGAAGGTAGATAATTATGTTCCTTCCTCAAATACCATCATTTGAAATTCCTATGAAAGCAGTGTTCAAAGTGTCAATTGATTGGCTACTCCAGGGCCTCCAAAGACTTCCTGCTGCCCTGAGGATTGTCTTTCACAAGAAGCAGAATGGAGGGCTCTGGAATGGTGTTGAAGTATAGAATAATTTAATACAACCTGTTACCACTTAGTCTCTACGGGATCTGGATGAGCTCCCAACCCCTCAGATAGGACTTTCCACTACCAAGATCAGAATGCTACTGCCTACCATAAAAGTGAACACCGTGCCCTGATGCACCCATCCTGTAAGGTGGATGGCTCACATAAACACCTAAAGGACTCCTCTGACAGTCTTTTAGTTCTCTCATCTGACCTCAGATGCATCCTTATTTTTGTTTTGTTATTTGCCCATGATATGAGCTCTGCTGCCCTGAATTCACCCTTTCAAACATGACAAGTGATAAATTCAGTATAAAAAATAAACACACAGAGCCATTGCTGTGGTATAGCGGGTTGATTCTCCACCTGCTATGTCAGGAACCCATGTGGGTGCTGGTTCGTGTCCTGGGTGCTCTACCTCTTATCCAACTCCCTGCTAATAGCCTGGGGAAATGTTGGATGATGGCCCAAGTGCTTGAGCCCCTGTCACACATGTGGGAGACCAGGATAAAGCTTCTGGCTTCAACCTGGCCCAGCCCAGCCATTGCAGCCATTTGGAGAGTGAACCAGCAGATGGAATTCACTCTCTCTTGCTCTCTCAACTCTGCCTTTCAAATAAACTAAATAGATCTGTAAAAATAAAACGTGTTGGGCCTACTATGTGTCTGGCAGCTTTGGCTCTCAATAGATAGCAACACTTATTTATTGCCCATAAAGCCTATATGAAATCCTTCTTCCACCGTATGCATCATTTCTGCTCTTTCTGCTCCGGCATTAAAGACTTTCCATGTAAATATCCTGACACATTCTCCCCTCCCCCAGAAAACCAGATCTTTTCTAAGTCTTAAGCTTTTTGATAGGTTCACATTATATAATTTTTAAAAAAAAATATTAGCATCACTTGCTTTTTTTTTTTTTTTTTTTGACAGGCAGAGCGGACAGTGAGAGAGACAGAGAGAAAAGTCTTCCTTTGCTGTTGGTTCACCCTCCAATGGCTACTGTGGCCGGTGCACCGTGCTGATCCGATGGCAGGAGCCAGGTGCTTCCTCCTAGTCTCCCATGGGGTGCAGGGCCCAAGCACTTGGGCCATCCTCCACTGCACTCCCTGTCCACAGCAGAGAGCTGGCCTGGAAGAGGGGCAACTGGGACAGAATCCGGTGCCCCAACTGGGACTAGAACCCAGTGTGCCAGCGCCACAAGGCGAGGATTAGCCTAGTGAGCCACGGCACTAGCCAGCATCACTTGCTTCTTAAACATTTCTAGGCGAAGCTAAACTCATTTCAGTCTCCTATGCCCACTAATGCTTCTTCTTCCTGCATTCTTACAACAGATCACGAGTCCCTCTCCATTGTCATTTAGAAACCACTCCAGGAATACTAAAACCTTCAAGAAGTAATAAGCCAGGAAGTTATAAAAATTACTGTACTTAGAGCTAGTTTAATAAAAGATCTCATCTAATACCAGCACTGAGAAAAGTATTATAAAGAAAACAGAGGCTAAAATCTTACCTTGATAAACTGGCTGTTTTATCTAGGACAAGGAAGAAACAAAGTTAACCTTATTATAATAATATATATTAGGAAATACATGTTGTTCCTGATGAAAGTAAAAACACTAATCTAGTGAAATAACAGTCATTTAGCTTAAAGGACTTCTAAAAGATTAAAAACAATGAAAGAAGCCAGCGCCGCGGCTCAACAGGCTAATCCTCCACCTAGCGGTGCCAGCACACTGGGTTCTAGTCCCGGTCGGGGCGCTGGAGTCTGTCCCAGTTGCCCCTTTTCCAGGCCAGCTCTCTGCTATGGCCTGGGAGTACAGTGGAGGATGGCCCAAGTGCTTGGGCCCTGCACCCATGGGAGACCAGGAGAAGCACCTGGCTCCTGCCTTCAGATCAGCGCGGTGCGCCGGCCGCAGCGCGCCAGCCGCGGTGGCCATTGGAGGGTGAACAAATGGCAAAAGGAAGACCTTTCTCTCTCTCTGTCTCTCTCTCTTTTATTGTCCACTCTGCCTGTCAAAAAAAAAAAAAAAAACAATGGAAGATATTTCCTACTTCATTGTGATCTTTCATTAAACCATTTCTGATAGGGTAGAAAGGTAAACAGTATTTTTGACCAAAACACCTATTTCCATATTATTTAAGGAAAAACTAATCTATTTAATTTTTTATCCAGAAATGGCAAAATTCATAATTAGAATGCAAATACATTATTTGATTTGTTTGGGGGGAAACCCAATATCTATAATGAAATCTTAAACAAGAAAAGCCTCTATGAGAACAGAATAAATTCTAAAACATTTGTACTGCAGTAAACTTTTTTGATTCACTAGAAACACCTTACAAATTTTAAAATACAGTTGGATGGGGGCTGGCACTGTGGCGCATTGGGTTAAAGCCCTGGCCTGAAGTGCTGGCATCCCATATTGGTGCCAGTTCGAGTCCTGGGTGCTCCTCTTCTGATCCAGCTCTCTGTTATGGCCTGGGAACACAGTAGAAGATGACCCAAGCCCTTGCCATCAGTCTCTGCCACTTTCAGTACCTGTAAACTGTAATGCCAGCTAAACTTCTACCAAGATACCATAAAATCTCTCACAAAGGACCTGTGTAAATCAGTTCCTTTCACTCATGTAATGTTGTGTATTTTAGTAAAGAATAGAAGGCCATATTAAAAGACAAAATAATCAGTTTGATTTGAGAAGGCAAGCATTAGAATCACCACTCAGATAAATTACCCTTCCAAAACGGACACAGACTTCTAAGAAAAATATCAAAGAACCTCTCTCTTTCTTTCTTTCTTTTTTTTTTTTTTTGACAGGCAGAGTGGACAGTGAGAGAGAGACAGAGAGAAAGGTCTTCCTTTGCCATTGGTTGGTTCACCCTCCAATGGCCGCCGCGGCTGGCGCGCCGCGGCGCGCCCACGCTGATCCAATGGCAGGAGACAGGTACTTATCCTGGTCTCCCATGGGTGCAGGGCCCAAGCCACTTGGGCCATCCTCCACTGCCTTCCCGGCACAGGATGAGGTGGCCTGGAAGAGGGCAACTGGGACAGAATCGGCACCCTGACTGGGACTAGAACCCGGAAGTGCCGGCACCTCAAGGTGGAGGATTAGCCCAGTGAGCCGCGGCGCCAGCCAGAACTCTCTTTCTCATAAGCCACACTACACAAGATTACTAAAAGAGGCTCTTCAGACAGAGGAGGAAGCGAATATATGTCAGCTACGTGGGTCTACATAGTGCAAGAGCAATAGGCAAAGGAGTAAGTGAGGGCAACGTGTTATCTTACTGATTGGTTTCTCAGACAACACTTTGCTTAATATAACCTGAACAAAGTAGTAATAGCAATACATATGGCGATTATAGCTTATGGATATGCAGTGTCGTAAGAACTGGGACGGAGTTCGTGGAGTCACCTTTTACAACATAAATTTCATTTCCTGTGAATTGGATTACTTTTTAAAATGTGTATTTCCAATTCAGGGAGAACCACTTTCAAAAAAGACAACAAAAAATAGTTCAAGTATAATGGTGTGCTAAACACAATGAAATAAAACTTGCAAGATTCTAAGTAGGCCCTGAAAAGACATATAAAGAGTGTAAGGCAAAAGGGGACAATGAATAAAAAACAGCCATAAAGGGATAGATGTTAAAACCAATTATATCATTAATAGTTTTAAATGCTAATAAAGTAAATACACCAATTAAAAGACAGTGACTGATAGAGTGGAATAAAAAATAATTCCCAGCTAATGAATTTATAGCAGGAGCCCATTTTCAACATCCAAGCTATAAATGCATTAAAAGTGGTTAGAGAAAAATGTACAGTTAGAACTAATCAAAAGAAAGATGGAGTAGCTATTTCAGTTTCACACAAAACAAGCACAATGCAAGGAGCATTCAAGGATTCACATGGTATTACATAATGATAAAGGATCCATTTTTCAAGAAGACATGACAACCCTTAATGTATAAATACCTAACAAACAGAGCTCAATATTCATGAGGCAAAACTGCACTGCCAACTAGAAATAGATTAATTCACCCTCCACTCCTCCTCTCAGTCACTGGCATATCGCAGGAAGAAATCAGTAAAGATTCGATAACTGAACA